TATATACACACACTTATACATACATACATATACATACATACATATATATAGGCATATATTATAAGGCTGATGCTTTAAAGGCATTCGTAGGCGTTGCAGCTGCAATTCGTTGATCAATCTAACACAGCTAGACAAATTCAAGTCGATAATTTGTAGCACATTTTATATAAGTGCTTTGAGCAATTTAATTGAGGGCAGGCATGCATTATTTTCGCATTTCATTTAGAGTTTCTTTATATCTCTCTTGGGAACAGAGCCCCCTACTGGAGCTGCATAAATATGAAACTTGAATGTATTACGATTCTTAAATTGGAGCATCGAGCATTAGCCCAGCTAAATGATATGAATGTAATGAATGCTTTAATCATATTTAAATGATATGATTGTTGGAATATAATTATATGTTTCTATTCATTCATAGAGCATTCATATCATATGAATGTTTTGTAATAACTTGTCAAATTTCAGCTGAAATGAATACAAAACTCTTAATATCTTAAGAAATCATAACATTCATATGTTTGAATTGAGGAATCTCAGTGTTTGAGCAGAGTAAAACGTATATATAGTTTATTTATAGCACTCGTAAGAGTGTTTGTACTGAATGTTTCGTATGCAGCTTGAGATTAAGTAGAGTTTCAACTCGAATGAATGGCCTCTCCCATTGAATTGAGTAAATTGAATGCATTCGGTGTTGTCTACTGGAAGTAGCTTCTTTTTGTCTCTCCGATTATCCGAATACCACTCAAAGCATTCACATTTCTGCAAGACTCCATCAGGCATGTCGCCTTACAGTTACATGAACTGCGTTCAGTTTCTTGGGACTGATGGATTTGCTGGATACATGCAAATGCCGCTTACCAGGCGGTGCCTTGCGCTGTGGCTTCCAGGCCAAGACGTGGGCCACGTTCCACTTGGCTTTAATGGTGTCACGTGCGAGCGAATTGCAAGTGACTCGAGACTCGAGGCACTCATTTGATAAACTAATTGTGGGTCCGGCTCCGAGCGCCTTCAAATTGAATTTAATATTAATTAACTAATTTCTACGCTACGCTCACTTTTAATTAAGTTCTTATCAGGCCTGCTTCTGCACTTGGCTGACGTAATTTCATTTGATTTCGTTGACATGCTTGAAGCTGCCCAATGGTTACCTCTCCCCTTCCCCTTTCACTTCACCATCCCCCTTCTCGGCCCATCGTTCGTCTCACCTCACATCACTGCCGTCTGGTCATTCGCGTCGACGACTTCACGTAAATACACGTGCCGCAGCTCAAGTCCAAGCCAAAGCGGACGTCGAAGGAGACGTAGCTAAAGCCCGACATGAACAGCTGTGTGGGAGGGGACAGGTGGCCGTTGCGGCCAACAGGGAATACATCGATGTGCAACGTGTTTTTCCGGTTTAATACCTTTCTCAACTGAATACGAATGAAAATAGCGGTACATGTATCAAAAAAAAAAAAAAAAATAGAAAGAAAAGGAAAAAACCTAAAAACCCGAAAGCAAAAGAAAACTCAAACCTCCCCGCAGCTTCACAATATAAAGTAAAAAGACCAACAAGAAAACATCATGAATCCCGTATCGCGCTTACCTTCTCAATGTGTGTGTGTGTATCTGTGTGTGTATTTGCCTTGCTGAGTGTTGCAGTTGAGCACGCGCCGCTTTACGTTGCGGGCGTGACGCAAGCTGTGAGTGCAGGGGAGCAGGAAGCGTGAGGATCCATGTGGACTTCCACTAAACGGGCTTACTGCCAGCTGGAGCCAAAACTTCTTCATATATACAGATAAATATGCATAAACATATATGTAAAATCCGATTCCGAATGCCAAACAATGCAGTCCCTAACAATTATCGATGGCCGACACAACTGTACTAAAAACTGGAAAACGAAATATATCATAGTCTAAAAAGTGGATCAGCAGAGGCTTTCTAATTAGCTTAGAAATTAACTTTTACTACTATCGATATTTTATCGATTTCTATTGAGGTATTTGTATGAACAACAATTTTTTTAAAGTTTAGTTAACTAAGAGAAGCTAACTAGGGAGCTTAATTTATGTAAGTGCTTTAAGTACTTAACTACATTAATCAAAGTCGATAACATATTGATAGTTGTAAAAGTTAATTTTTGATTTTTTTTTATTTTTTTTATTTTTCAATAACATTAATTTCTACGCTTATATAAAACGTTTCATTTTTATATTTTCTTTGCCCATTTTCATATACGATCAATTTCGATAACATTCTTGATATTAACTCGGTTTCAATGGTCCATAAAGAAAAGCGATACAACTGCTTCATCCCAGCTTCGAGAATTCTCTGCATAAAAGAGCTCTTAACGGTTAACAGTTATCCGATTTTCTCTGCTCTCTGGCGTTCTGTTTATCAATCGTTGGGCCCGTGCAACGCCCACGTTTTGGCATTTTCGTTTCTTCTTCTGCTGTCTGCATTTTGTTGGCACACAACAAGCAACAGCCACGCCTACACAGCCACACTAACGCCCATCACTTGTGCCCCCACACGCCTTGTCAGTCGCCTTGTGTCTGCTTTCAGTTTTTTTGTGCTTTGTATTTAGCCGGTATTTTTGTATACCCTGCAATGCTTTGAAAGTCGTCTTACTTATTGGAAAAAGGTCAGCTGGACGGCTTTTCCATAAAATGAGGTACACAATCAACATAACTGTACCTATGAACATACATACAAAAATATTTAAAATATTGCTTTTTAAAATTGGCTGGCATGCGTCTATAAATTATCGATAAATTATCGACCATTTTTGGTTGATCTATAGTATGTTAGAATATATGATTGTTTAAACAGCTATTGTTGATCGATAGTCTGTTATTATTAGAAACGTAATTTATCGATAGCTGACTACTAAGTTTTTAAATCATTTAGTTTGTCCATAACTTTTGATTACGCAAATTCGTCGCTATAGATTAATTGCCTATAATCGATAGCACTTTAAGGCTATCCAGCCGATAAATTGCTATCAGCCTAAGTTTTTGTTAAGCACAAATCTTGTATACATAGACGAACTGTCAAGCATGCCTATTACAGGGTATCTGCGAGTCCGGCAGGGTTGAGTTCTGTATTCCTTTTGTGCTTTGTGCACGCTTTTATTTCGGTGTTTGTTTGCTTCCTTTTGTTGTTGTTTTGTAGCCGCTTTGTGTGTCACTGTACCACATACACATACATACACACGCTAACACCCACACACACACACACACACACACACACACACACACGTACGGCACTTGTTGTTGCTGTTGGTGTTACCTGCGTGTAAAGTCGCGTGCCAAAAATCGCTAAATTTTTTTTGGCTATTTCCGTTTGCGTTTATGTTTTACTTAAATTCCCTTTAACCGGCCTCAACATCCGACCGACCCACGACACCAGCGAACGGAAGTGGCGCCCCTCCCCCTCCCCACTCCTTTTAGCCGTCAATACGCAGCCAACCACTCGGCCCCTCCCATACCTGGCCTTGCTGCCCCCTTTCCAGTCGGTTTTATGCTGTTGCTTTTTAGCTGCTTTTGCTTTTGCTTTTGCTGCTGTTGTTGCTGCTGGGTTATTTTTTCATTATTTGCAATATCACGTAACGCCAAATGAAGTCGTAAAACGTCCAAGTCCCGAGCCCCAATCAGTTGCTCACACATACTCACACGCATGCACACTCCTTCGCTCGACCTTCGACTGTGGCAAGCGTATAAAAACAAAAAACAAATTGTTTAATTTATATTATAGGTATTACGTTTGATTAAGCGACGCTCATCCAGCCAGCTCCTCTAGAGCCCCTCTAGTTGCTCTTGCCCTTGTCCTTGTCGTTGCCCTTGTCTCTGTCTCTGTTTCTGTCTCTTTGTCTCCCTGAATGTCAGGCGGCTACCCCTACCCGTCCCCCCCTTTAGACTACCATAAACTTGAGGCATTTAAATTATGCACAAGTGCCGACAACCGGAACCGGGTCAGGACAGCAACAGAATGGAGCAGGACGCATTGCCTAAGTGGTTTCTCATTTAGCTGAGAAGCATAAATCAAGCATTAAAGCAAATAAACAAGCAAGCAAGCAAACAAATGAAAGCACGAAACACAGCCGAAAAGCGACAAATGACAAAGGACACTGAACGACCAAAATGGAAAGAAAGTAAATGCCAAACGCAAGCCGAAGCTCAATACCCTAACAGCTAAGATCAACTGCGACTACTTGGCAGAAGATCATTAGGCTTAACATTGTCTTATATCTATAGATCAACTCCAACTTGATGGTCATATTTGTGACTTTTTCTATAAATATGTGAAAGCTTAAGTAATATGTATATTAAAATAATCATCTGCAATCATTGAGAGGATCATCTAGTGGGTTAAAACTTCCTTTCCAGTTCGACTTCAAGTTTCTCTATTATTTTCGTTATGGTTCAACAGTGTTAACTTTTTTTTTTTTTTTTTTTTTTTTTTTTTTTTTGGATTGCTCGGAGCTGACTGAAAATTAATTAAAAACCATATAAATTATTTCGTTGTCATTTCACATGCTGAAGCATTGCGGACTTTGACGCATTTGCCGGCTGCCACTTGGCCAAAAGCCATCGAGCGCTCTTGCCACATGCCACGTTGATGGCTGACAACGAACTGTCGGCCTAAAGGCTATGTGCTCATAGCTCTCGGTTCACTGAAACTAATACAGACGTGGCCCAGTCAGAGGGAAGGTTAGGCCAACAAAAAGACTAGACTAGAAGATATCTCGAAATTGGGGCATGGTGAAGAAAAAGCTGATGAAGAATAATCGATGCTTATCGAGGACTGGACTATCGAGGGGCAAATCGAAACAGTGTCTGCGCTTCTGAAATTTTATTACTGAATTTAAATTGAAAAATTTAATTGAATATGAGATAGCAAAGATAGAGAAGATTAAAAAAGAAAGTACTATGCATGTTGAATATCTATGAAATATTGTCAAATCCCTGATAATACTATATATACATACATACATATATATATATTATCAGGGATTTGACAATATTTCATAGAATATTCAACATGCATCGTTGGCTCAGCGTACTTTATCGACGATCAGGTAGTATTTTTACGCAGATTTTCGAAAGGTGGTGGTAGGGGTGGCAAATCCCTCGAGTTTGGCGCTGCTTGGGACTTGGGAAAATTCTCAAGTTTGTGTTGAACGTCCGCAACGTGACAGCACTGGGCCAGACCATAGACAGGATATTGCTGGAGCTTGCCGAATAGGCTCTGCCGCAGCCAGGGCACCTCGTGGCACATGCTCTCGCATAGCTCGTTGCGCTCGTCGATCTTCAACTGCAAATTGGTTAATGCCTCAACGAATGATCAGCGAATGTGGGCGTGTACTCACGAAGGGCGAATTGTGGGCTATGATTACGAACTCCTCCGTCACATTCGCATTGGGCGCCACTGCGCGCACCTGGGCCCAGATGAGAGCCGGCACCGTGACGGTGTAGCCGGAGTCCAGTTCGACGGACAGCTGGCGGCTATCATTGCAGGCTATCGTCGTGGGCAGGCTAATGGTCCCGGAGACACCGACATTTACATCATATTTAGCATTTATGCTTGCCGACTTCAGTGCATTCAGGAAATGGCGCCAATTGCCGTTGAGCAGAGCGCGTAGCCAAATAATTGAGAGCATTTCCTTAAACTCGCCTTGCCCACTGCTGAGAGGCTCATCCTGTATGAGGGTGGCATATTCGAATGTCTTGGCACCGAACAGCGACATCAGCCGTCTGTCGTCGCGGAACGCGGCTTCTACGCTCTCCGACCTGCAACGGGATCAAATGTCAAATTTATCAACTGACGCATCATTGGCCTTAACCTACCCGTACGGCTTGAAGAGATGCTGGCTATAGATCACTTCAATGTCTAGGCCCAATCGGTTGAGCTGGCCAGCCTGAGTCTGTTGGCAAGATAGCGTTAGTGCATTTATGGCTCGGAAAGCCATTGCGATTCATTGCTCTTACCGGTTCAAGCCACTTGGTATATGCCGTATAGCTGATATACTTAAGCTGCTGCTTATCGATATCGTAGCATATGGCGAACCTTTTTAGTGAACCAAATTCCTCGAAAGCCCGGCCAACAACCAGACTCATGTAGCCCTCGCAATTCGGCATACTCGTACGGCTCTCAAATATGGGAGAAATGGCATTGTCACGGCAACTTACACTTTCAACTTCTGGCTCGCTCGAGTGGTCAAGCAAAATAAATCTGTTGCGCTTACAACTAATTGTAGTGCGATTCGCATTAAATTCCTCGTAACGCCCATATGAGCTATCAATTTAATAAAGAAGAACATCGATCAATTTCTTTTCAAACTGGTTAGGAAGAATATGTTGAATATTTTGAGTACATACGGAATATAATATTTAAATCCACTTTCGCAATATAGATCAACAGACTCCGAGCTTTCAAGTGTTAATATTGGCCCCGTGACCGACACCCAATGCTTTGATCCCAGCTGCGTTACTGTTAATGGTGGTAATGGAGAAATTGTAAGGAGATTACATCTCTGACTCGCACTATGGAAAGGCAGGGAAACCCCGATAAGTCCTAAAATGAAAACGTTTAACAATCGCATCGCGCCAAATTACAAACAGCACTATGGGCAGTCTGCCTGGGCTCAGCTCGTTTTATAGGCCAGCGCGTGTATATGCGAATACGATAGATCCTATCAATAGTGCAATCTGTTCAATCTAGCGCGGATCTACGCACTTGCAATAACACTGCTATGAATACTCTTCTGGAATGACAGAACTCTTGATCAATGCTATCAACTGCAGTCAATACTCTAAAAACATGTTTTAATTGTGAGCTTTTAGCTATAAGGCTATAGTTACGTACATCAGAATAAATTTGTAAAATTTAAAAGAAATTCAATTAATATACATATGTATATAATTTTCAGGACAGATATGGCTATAGCTATTCATATTTGAAAAGTCTTTCGAATTACACAAAACCAATATGCTCATTTTATATACATATATTTGTATATCAATTTAAGAGAATTTGCTATACGACTACACTAGTATTCATTTGACATGAACTTCCCGAGTCATTTTGCAACAATCTATTGCATCGATAGCAATGCACATTCATATAATCAAAATGCACTGGTTTCATAAGTTCATGTGCTAGACTCGCCTTTTTCTTATCAGTTAAGCGGTTGCGTGCATAGTGAGTTTGTAAAATCGGGGAAGAACCACAATTGTTGACATTCGTTGCCTTCTAAGTGGGGCGAAGTAGACTGTTTTTGAATACATACATACATATGTATATGTATGTGTAGGTTATTCAAATATACCCTGTACATTGACCAGCATAATATGTATGTAGACATAAATTGCAAAACTGAATACAGCCAAGGCAAATCATTTTGTGGTGCATAAAGAAGTAACCGAATGATAATGATGATGATTAATGATAAAGATAGTAATTAGAACAGAGCAGTTGCGGGCCACCCTCATGATCCACCGTGCGCGTTGATTCTGCTCCACTTGCAATTATGAGTCCAAACTAGCTCCGGCACTCTGGCACTCGTCGGCGACTGAGTCAGCAGAAATAAAGTCAGGCTCATTATCGATTTGGACTGCGGCTTTCATGAATCGCTGTCAAAGTCACCGAGTGACCAAGTCAGAGAGCCAAGCACTCCACGTGCTCGCTAATCGGATGCTCTGATATTTACAATGTAATACTTCGTCTAGCCCATCAATATAATCAATTCCAGCGATGCGCAGGTATTATAAACATTGTCTAAAACTACAAACTGCTCGACTGGCTTAAGCTTTAGATGGAAAGACCTTGTGTATTTAACCAGGCCAAATGAGAGCAATATGAAGCGAAAGCGCTTTAAAACTAAACTTGATTGAAGGACTCAAAAGTTTTCAGCTTTACTCTATAGCTACATCATTCAAATATTCAATATTGGGAGTCTTGATTTGATCTAGAGTACTACAGGGCATATTCAGGGAAGGGAGTGAGAATTACTCTGGTTTGATTCGTCCGCTCTTCCGTCTGTGTTTTCTTCCCTTGAGAATTATAGAAGCTGAAGATTTTTTGTGTCTGATTTCGTTTGTTGATTGTGTAAGCCCAACTCGATATACATATATAGCGTCGTACTCAGTGCGTATGTATGCCCTGTTTGACCCACTGTACAGCTGCTGCTGCTGCTGCTGCTGCTGCTGTATGCTGCCGGAGCCGAGCTCTGCTGGCCGGATTCGTTTGTCACCGCATGGCTATTAACAACAGTTTGCGCAAATGACACTGCAATAAAGCATAAAGAGAAAGGAAAACATTAAAAGATACAACGCCAGCAACGTCCAGCAGCAGAAGACGCACGGAGCGCGAACAAAGCCAAGCCAAACAAACACCCAGCCCAGACCGGGCTGCTGGTCAGCCGAGAGAGTCATTCCGCTGGCTGGTGGCCGCTGGCCGCTGGGCGGGCAATGTCTTATGCACAGATTTATTATGTGGCCATAAATAAATTACAGGGCCCGGAACGCACAGGATGCACATAATAACACGGCAAACAACGGACTCCAAATGTGGCTAAAAGCAACAAAGCAAAGCCAAAGCCAATGCCAAAGCCAATGCCCATGCCGAAGCTAAAGCAAAAGCCGGAGCCGAGAAGCCGAAGCACGCCAAATCAAGCCGAAGCCGAAAGCAGCAAATTACCAAAAATACCAAAAATGCTTGCCAAGGGCAATTCGAGCGTGACCCGTTAGTGCGTTGTTAGCCCCCTAAACCGTTTGCCCGAATCCCAGTTATGTGATAAGGGTTAAAAGGTCTGTCGACAGGCGCCGCAGCCCCTCTCGCTCTCCCTGCCCCAGCCCTCCATTCGTCCATTCAAAAATGCATGAAAATGTTGAACGATCTAATTAATGCCCAAGCACTAGCTGTAATACATATACATGTAATACACGCACACACACGCACACACAAGCATATATAGTGCATAGTGTATCTATGTGAATTCAAACTGCTGAACAAGCAATCATTTCCTTTCGCTCTCATCACTCAACACATCAACTGAGAGCTCGACCAAGTGTTTATTGTTCCGTTCCCTACACTGAGCCAGCCGAGAGGGTATATTGGCTTCATATGTGCTTATGGATGTTTGAGTGATATGCAAATACAAATTCATTAAATAGATTGCCTTCAGTTCTCGTTTCTCTGTCTCCCTGTCTCTCTGTCTCTCTTAATCTCTCTATCTAGCTCTCATGTATTCTATGATTACGAAGCTGTCATTATTCCATTGCTCTACTCAAATATACCCTGCGCCTGGAAAAACTACAATTTTTCGCAATTTTCATATTAATAAAATTCTTGAAATTGTTTCCTGTAAAATATTTTTTTTTTTTTTTGTGTCTAAATAAATAAATAGGTTTTAATATTGCATATCTTACCAAATGCTTTTGCACCTTTACCTCAATATAAAATATTTATTTATTTTTATTTATTGTGCTTTACTTCCCTTAAACATTTTTTTTTTTTATTTTTTTTTTTTATTTTGATTTTGATGTATACCTAAGGAAGGTTAGCTATTGCTTTTCAGCTTGGATATTTATTATTTTCGAAGTAAATATTCTTCTATATTTGAAATTGTATGTATTTATTTATTTTTTTTATTTTTTTTTCAAAGAGAAGCCCTTGATTTGACTTAAATAGATGCATAGATATTATATTTAAGAAATTGATAAAAGCATTGATTGATGCCAACTATTTAGTATATCTATGCTTGCTCTATTGCAAATGGTCACAGCCACGCCCACGACACCCCCAAGCTAAACAGACAATGGCCAATGGCAAAGACCTAACTATGCCCTTAACTTAAACTTTAAGTGCCATTCTGACTCTCTCTCTCTCTCTCTCTCTCTCTCTCGCTCTCTGTCTCCCTCTCTTTCTTTCGTTTTCTTTCTCTCTCACTCTCTGTTTCTCGCTATCTCTCAGCGCGCTTGGTGCAGTGCGTCAGCCAGACTGACTGAATGGCTGGCTGGCAATAAATATCAAAGCATTTGTTTGCCGTCAAAAGCAAGAGGCTGCCAGGTTGCAACGCCTTCAATAAGTGGATGCGTGTATCTGTGTGCGTGTGCGTGTGTGTGTGTGCGAGTATGTGTGTGTGTGTGTGTGTGTGTGTGTGTGTCAAAGCTTGTGTGGCAGTCAATGGCTGTGGCACGTGCGCCGTAATTTGCGCGTTTAACATTTAAAGCAGCTCGTGAAGCTTCACAAATCGCCGCAACCGCTTCCAGGTACACGGGGGCGTATGCGCAATAAATTTAACGAGCTGCCATTAGAGATGACGACGAGGACGTCTACGATGGCGTTGGCATCGGCATTGCCATCGACGATGGCGTTGTCGTTGTCGCTGGCAAGGCCAAGATGTCAATGTCTGAGTGTAATGGCAACGGCAACGGCAATGGCAATGGCAAATGGGCGACTGCATTGAAATTTGTGCAGGCTAATGATAAATTGACTTAATTAGTTGACGTGCCAAGCACAATTATTATGAATTGTTGCGCTCATGTGTTTCCGAAAAACAATTTCGCTTACGTTTCGCAACAAATTTGATGCCTCAATTGATGGCGATTGAATAATGCGTCCATTCAAATTAACTGCTGAGCATATCTCAGCTTCAATCATGGTGCTCAGTCTGCCCTGATTATGAATAAATTATTGCGAGTGTCTCACACTGTGTAGAAGAAGCATAGACGGATTCCACAGCAACTTAAATTGTGATGACCTGTGACCTGAGCTGGTAGCTCAAATGTACACAGGGCTAACATGAATTAGCTACTGTGATCTGGAGAGCCCTGAGATGAGTGAGAGCTACAGCGATCTAGCATGTTAATCTCTATCTCTTGTTACTCACAACTGCAGTGATTATCCTGCGAAGTTTGCTGTCTTTACAGACCTACCAAATGTGCATTACCCCAAGATTTTTGTAAATGCGGATCAACTATATCTAAAGTTTACTGAATATATGACTATTTTTGGAATTCAGATGGGGAAAATTAGACAATAGTTATTAAGAATTTAAATAAATTTAAAATAATGCCCTTATGAATGAACGATGATGAATATAAACAGATTATGTTTTAATTAAAATCTCAAGAAAAGAATTTAAAAGAAAAAAATTTTTATAGAATATTCTCTAACCATATAGTGTATGAAGTTTCCGCATTATATAAATTTTTATAATTTCTCCGTAAAATATAGCATTTGGACTGCTGTTGAGGTTGGCTCGAAGGTCTGTTGATCTAGCTAGTTGAGTGATCCATGCTGTACTGGTCGTTGCCCTGTGGCGTCTAATCTAAAAGACAGTTTCTCACCTGTCTGACATATTAATACATACTTGTTGATCTGCTCAGAAATCTATGGACTTTATGAGGTTTGCCACGCCTCCTGCTGGCAGCTACAGAGATTACGGAACCATTATGTGCTGAGTGTCTATTTTAAATTGGTTTTAGGCTATCAGTTCATGTATAAATATAATATAAAGATAGATAAAGTACACTAGGGCATCGCCGAGTCGTGTTATCGATTGTTACTTTGTTGTTGTTATTTGCTTTTGTTTCGTTTTCTTGCTTCGCTTGCATTAATTTACGTGTAATTCGTTTTTGAAATCAAATGCTGTAGACATTCTGGCTTGGCCCGTGTGTTTGTTTGTGCTGGAGAGACGTGCTCTCGGGCTCGATAATAATTGAATCGCA